AAAATTGCTATATAATAACACATTATGACTTACGTGGATTACCGATACTTACGTTACACTAATAAAAAGCATTGTTGAATGATTTACTATCACTAAATTTGAAACTACTGCATCGTTATTTACAATTTTTGCTTTAACTTGAAAAAGGTTACAGATCACAGTTATATTGTATGCACATTAAGTAGAAATAATCATGCGAAATAAAGAATTATGGATACAAACGTTACCATGAGTGTAAAAAGACATAATAGTACGTACGTGCATATATAGATTGTATAAACATATATAGTTTGTATAGACATGATTATATATGAAATTCATGATATCTGATGGCCAAAATGTGCCAAGAACATACTATCCTTTGATTGTTCAATTCGTTTACAGTTTTGTTCAAGTTGATACCTACGTTACATATTGTTTTTGCATTACTCATTGTTCCATGTGGAATAGGTTGCGGCATTTCATGGTTTTAGCTTATCGTTTATATGTAATGTTAATATATGACAGGTGGTTGTTTTAAATGCAGAAAATATTTTAGTAAATATTGTTATGTAGTCATTATAGGTTACATTTTGAAATAACTTGACAGTAACAGTGTACAAACTCACGTAACACTACATCCTATGTTGATAAATATGAGTGTATTTTCTGTAAAGAAACAAGGTAATATATTACAGAATTCGTAACAGTAAAAAAATTAGTATGTTATTATGTATTTGTTCTCTAAACGTTACAGGTTAATTCTTTTCACGAGTTGATACAAACGTTACATTTGTATGACATTTATTAATAATTAAACACACATAGACGGATGCCGTATATATAGCATGATTAGCCTTAAACTGCTAGTTCGATATTGTTGTATAGTTTCATAAGTTTGTTTGGGTTAACTATGATGTTAAAACATACTGTTTTGAATTATTTGTAACTGTTTTAATCAAATAATAAAAGTTTCTGTTTTCTTCCACATTTCCTTTGTTTGTATGTTTAATAATATAGGTACAAAGTTTCGATGGTTGTCCGTGATCGTTTTCTGGCATGTATATGACGCCTCTGCTATCTTATCCAATTGAAAAACATAGACTACGTCAATAAATATGTCTAAATAAGTGAGAAAATGTAAATGTTAGTCTGAAAGTAACGTAGGTACCAGAGGGAAAAACACGTACTAACTTTGAGAAACCGTATCTTCGCAATTGTTTGTTTCTTGTGAAAAATATCTTGCAATTGGACAATTGGGTTATTAACTATTGTTCAAAACCTATTTTGTCAATGTAAAATCAACGTTAGCGTTGTTGAAATTTCCACCCCTCAAATGTTCCCTATTATTGAGAATGGGCGATTTAGACTATCAGCTCATAATCTCGAAATAGAAAAAGGAAGGCACGATAATATTCCAAGAGAAAACAGAAAATGTCGAAATTGTTCATTAAATTTAGTAGAGACAGAATATCATTTCTTATTAATATGCCCGAAATATTACAATTTACGTAGAAAGTTTTTTAAACCATATTTTTGTAGATGGCCTTCAATGCAGAAATTCGAAACACTAATGACAAGCACAAATATCAAAACAATTAATAATCTGGCAAGTTATCTGTATTACGCATTTAAAGAGAGGACATAACTTAAGACTTTAATAACCGATAACATACTTTTTTCTTATGATTTACAAGTAAATGGGAGATAACTACGACAATAAATGATTAGTACATATTTATTTCATGCTTTCCAGTGTTTTATTGTAATATATCAGATGATTATATTCTGATAAACCACTAGTGAAATTTATAAAATATAATTTTCACTGTAGCCGAACTATATCTGAATGCGGATGAAAAGAAAATCATAACTAAATGGAATAACAGGCAGAAATAAATGCCGTCATGCGTAAATTTTGCTTCTTTAGGAAAAGAAAGTCGATGTCACCATACATCATGTTAAAAATGTAACAAAGTTAGAGAAATTTAACAGAACTATATTTCAAAATTGATGATGTGACGTCATGATGTGATGACGTCAAAAAGGAGAATGCGCGACGTTACGCGGCAAAATCAGTAAAAAATACTTAAAATCACTTAAAAAGCATGAAATAAAAAGAAAATTTATTTGTTTTACATATAAGATTGAAATATATTTCATTCGTGAACACCAGCTATTATATTTTCACTCGTGGCTACGCCACTCGTGAAAATATTGCATCTGGTGTTCACTCAGTGAAATTATATTTCAATCTTACATGCAAAACAAACAAATATCCTCTATACAACGGTTATGTCATCTTAGAAATATTATTATTGCCGTTTGATTTGTGGATATCGATATGATATAACGTTAACAAATATCTTTCTACTTAGCTTCTTACATATTTAAGTGTATTTATGTTTATACTTGTCACCAATAATTCTCGGCACGTGAACAAATCTCGTTCTACTGTGTACATGCATAAGTATTTTTTATGCAATTATGCCGTAACCTTTGTTTATATTTGTCAACAATACTTCTCGGCAACGTTAACAAATATTTTTTTCTTCTTTGTTAAAGTACATTTGTTTCTTACATTTATAATTATTTCTTATGCAAACTCTGTTATATATATCATAACATTTGTTCATACTGGTTAACAATACTTCTCGGCTAATTGTAACTTGTAACACTTTACACTATACAGAATATGATTTGACTATAAATTGTATGTTTACAATTTTATGTTAAATAAAATTTATGTTATGTTATGTTATGTATTACATTTAGAAAAAGAAAAGGGGGACAACCAGCTATTCGACTGAATTAAGTTTATAACTCTAGTTTTTTTCCCCTGAATTCTAAAAATACAATGGTATCCCCTATTTTTCAAACATAATGTACAGTGTTTTAAAACAAGTTTTATGTTTCATACATGTATGTGACCATGTCGAATTAATATGCAAAACATATTTGAATTAGGTGTGGCAAATTACATTTCGCCACGATGTTTAGATCTACATAAGAAGTAACCTCAAGTATCTTTGGATTCGGTGTCTATCTCCGTGCCCAGGGATCGTGGGTTCGAGCTCTTAGATAATACCGATAATAGTTTGTTCAAGGAAGCGCAATCTTGATAGATAAGTTGCGGAAACGAGTTTCAAAACTGAGCTGAAATAAATATTTAAAACTTAATAAGTTGTATCGAACCTGGCCAGATTGCACATATGAGTGAGAAGACAGGTTTGACTTGTATCGGTGGCATAATGCGAGTCATGTTTGTTGATAGTAGTCGCACAGTTTAAAGGCTTTGTGTACAGTATTTGAAGTAAAGTTAAGATGTTAAGAGGTCAAGCCGTTTAGGTTTATTTTATTCATATTACAATTTGATCATTTAGTTTATGTCGCACACTGGAGCATTTGAACGTAACAACCATTAAATTATGTTATAATGTAAATTTTATAATGCAAGTTGCCCAGGCAATTGTTATAATGTTAATTTTGTATTGCAAGTTTTTTTTATTAGTATTGTAATTATACTCATGCATTTTTATGTTAATGTCATTTCAACTTTATGTACATTGTATTGTATGTGTAACATGTAATTATTTTTAGATTTTTCCTTAAAGATAATATGGTCATGTTTAGTATCAAAATGATCATATTTTTTCATAGATTTTTGTTAGAAACATTAATTACGGTAAATTGCAAGTTGACTTCAATCAGGTACTTTGTCTTAAAAATTGTTTTTAAACTTATAAAAAATTCCCAAGTAATAAAAACACCTCTAAGCAAAATTTTTTAATTCAACATGACATTTAAAGTCTTCCTGCTTAATAGTGATACTGATTAGTTTCAATTAATCTCAAAGGCTTAAGCCCGAGCCAATTTGTTTATTATACAAACAAGGAAGTCAGGTGATAACTTTTCACAAATACAAAATAATAAAAAGATGATTTGTTGTTAACTTATGTTTGCAAAGTTAATGGAAATGGCTTCCTGTTATTTTTCAAAGCTTTCGGCAGTTTTCTGTATAAAAACTTGGTGGATTTTTCTATGGCCATCGTTCTAAAAATAAAGTTGTCTTTAAATTTATATTGGATTTTGTATTTTATATTGATTTTCAGTTACCACACCCAGTCCAAATCTGCGTTACAACAATTATAACCGCAAGATAACCGCAATTATAACTGCAATAGGGGTAGGGGCTTTCGTGACAGAGTTGTTAAGGGAGTTGACTTCAAACAACTTGCCCCTCGTCATAGTGGGTTCTTATTCCGACAAAAAATCAGAAGTCTGCCTATGTGTGGAAGCTATCCAGCTAGTTTACGGAAACGTCGGTAGTTCTACTGAGGTATCGCCGTGTGACCTATACTGTTTCGGGGTGATGTCAAATACCAACAGCCAGATGCAGCTTGCTTTGGTTTAGTTTGGTTGAATTTTGTTGACTGAGTATATTTCTTTATACAGTATTTTGTTTGGTCTTTTGTTTACAAATAATCGCCATATTGATAGTTTTTTTTCGGTAATTCATTCGTTCACTTATGCGGTTGTTTGTTCGTTCTGTCTTTCTTAAATGATAAGATTGGGTTAACAAATAAATTCAGCTTTTCTTTAATGTTACGAACAATTAATAAAAAATGCAAAGATAAAAACTTCTAACAAGGATTAATTCGTAAAATCAAGATAAACCCATTCAACTGCTAGCATGTTTAAATTTTGACCCCAGTATTAAAAGTAAAGTCTTGACGCGTACCTGTTCAATTCTACACGCATAATAATTTTGTTTAATGGACCAAGTACAGTATACACTATACAACATTGACGGGGTATTTAGTCAAAATTTGGGACATTAAACAGAATATAACGTAGATAATGTCACGACTTCTTTTCTCTATTTTTATCTCCTTTTTTGTCTTTTTGCTCATGTTTCCATTTAAATAAGTAAATATTACGATGACTGATTTAAGAATGTACAAGGTCATCAGACTGCCTGAAAATCAGACCTATATAAACCCGGTCGACATTTCATTATATTTTATTCTGCATGCGACCATCTCTAGTTAATTTTCATATTTAATGCCAGTCTGAGGCGGCAGTAAACCACTAAATTATTTAACAAGTGTACAGCCGAATTTAAAATGGTGATGACAGAATCTATAAAAGAGACACTGATAACATGGAACAGCGCTGTAGAATTCCATAACTCAGGAAATTACAATGAAGCAATAGAAAATTATTATAAAATACAAGTACTGTCGGCAAGAATGCGTTATAACATGGCATGTGCTGAAATCAAACTAGACAACGAACTTGCAGCTATTCAGGTAATTGTTTTTGTTGTTATTTTTTAATTTATTATTATTATTATTATTATTATTATTATTGTAATGGTTGTTGTTGTTGTTGCTGTTGTTGTTGTTGTTGTTTGAAATAGATTTGTATAAAATACATAGATATACAAGCTTAAAAAATATGCAAATGTTCGAAAGGTAAAGCCAACAATGATGGTTATTATTGAATCTGAATCCTAACCTCGTAAAATTTCTCAAACGGACATGTCGATCTTTCAATCTGGACAAAAACCATTTGTTAAATTTAGAGAAGATACAAAATATGTACAGGCTGAATAGCAAATAATGCAGACCACGATCAGACGGAACTGGTTACGTGGGTAGATTAATAAATAAATAAATTAATGAATGAATTAATTAATTATGCCTTAATTAATTATGCCTTATTTATTTATTGTATTTATTTATTTATTGTATTTATATAATTATAATTTTTATAATTAATTAATTTATTTATTCATTTATCTATTTATTTATTTACTTATTTATTGTATTTTCTCATTGTATTTATTTATTTATAGTATTTATATATTTATTTATATATATATTTATTTATTTGTTTGTTTGTTTATTTGTTTATTAATTTATTGTAATTAATTAATAAACAAACAAATAAATAAATATATAAATAAATACATTTAATTAATTAATTAATTGTATTTATCTATATATTTATTTATTTATTTATTTATTTGTTCGTTTGTTTGTTTATTAATTTATTGTAATATTTAAAGGCGTGCTTTCTGTAAATTAGAATATTCGTAATTAAGCATTTGACTAGGAGGTTTATTATAATGAGAGCATATTTTTTGAAATACGAAAAACATTCTCAAAACGTGTTAAGTATTTTCAAATTTCTTTTTCCTTCTTTATGGTAATGAAGTTAATTTTAAACTAAATTTGATAGGGTGTGTGTTTTATACGCAGTTAAACTGAGCGCTTCCTGCGATTTGTGAATAAAATACTATTAAATGGACAATGGAAAAATGTATTTATTATAATAATGTTGAAGTAAATCCTTTCTAAAACTGATAATAAGTAAAGGCTTCGTACATGTCACATTAACCTGAATAAATATTGTGTTTTCATTTCGTGATATGTATGACATAACCTTTTTTTTTCTTTATCAAAAATATATTGTAGTTTAGTTTAAACATATTTTATTTCTTTCAATTATATTGTATTTTGTATATACACGAAATTAATGACTAAGTAAATATTTGATTTAAAATGTTTTTAATCTAAATTGTTCAAACTAGCAACGAAAAAAACACAATGTTTCACACAAAACTTGAAATAATAATTATGTTTTGGACAGTTGGTATTTATTTAAAATAAAATAATTTTAAAAAGCATCATATAATAGAAGCCGTGCTTAAATTCCGTGAAGTGAGTGGATATAGAAATATGGAAACATTTTAGATAATATTCAAATATCTACAATAAATAAACATTCTTTATTTCGGAACACGTGCATGTCAAATTCTAGACAGGGGGGATTGCAATTAAAGCAGAAAACAAATTGTTGAAGATTGCAGACAAAGTGCAAACATAGTCAGATAGAGTCTGTTCATGAGAGATAATTAACATTGCCATAGTTCTCATACCCCGGACAGCCTCCCTCCCCCCCCTTCCTGCACCACATCGAGTAATATTTAATCCCCAATATTAAAAGACATAGAGCATATTGAACAAGTGTTGGTTCAATACTGAAATTATTGAACGAGTTTGAAAACGATTATATTATACGAACCTCTGGCGAGTTTTATATTATTTTATTGAAATGAGTTCAATAAATTCAGTAATGAAACTACACGAATATAATATTCTATTTGTCACATATCCAAAATAAAGAAAAAATAACTTGGTTTGTATAACGCAAATGACTTTGAAATTGTTCACCGTAGATTTAATAGATAATAAGACATATTAATTATCTAGACAGAAAATAGCATGGTTAGATCTACTATAAACTTAGGTGAGCAAATGTATCTTATTATGTAAATGACGTCACAGTTGACGTTGTTATTGCGTTTCAGAATACCTCTAGATCTACCATAAGTTACATGATTGTGAAAAATAGCGATTACGTTATTTCAGAGGAAGAAACTCCGCACTACCATCTTTCATACATAGTTACATATTACTTTTTTGTTCTTACAGAATCTGACCCTGGCCATCGAGCAAGACAAATATTTAGCTGTCGCATTCTTTCTACGAGGAACCTTATACCTACAACGTAACAGGTTATTATTTGATTTTATTCAAGTGACGTCAAGTTTAAAGTTTCCCAAAAGTTACTCATTTGCCAATTATATACTACTTTGATTACATTTTGCTATTTTTCTGACAAGTAATTGTCAAATCATCAGATAACAAGTATCTAACATTCATTTAAAGTTTTCCAAAAGTTACTCATTGGTCAAATAGCTGAAATGACAAATAATTCAAGTCACATCTTCTGGCATCTTAATTGCTCTACAAACCATTATTTAAACGGCATCAAATTCATGCTTGACCTTTCTAATGAAGTAAAAAAAACGTTTTTGAGGTATAACGTGCCCTTAACAAAACTAGATCAGAAAACACATACATTTGTATTATCACAATTATTTTATGTATATATTCCAGCATCGAGAACTCTATATCTGACCTTGAGATGACACGTGCATTGTTACGAGGGAACACTTTTATAGACTATAAACCACTAGGTCTACTTATTAGACTTTACAGTTTTCAGGTAGGAAGATTTACACGTGATTTAAAACCTACTAGGTCCTACATTTAAAATATTCTATTTGTGAACATTAAAATTTCGGGACTAACATTTAAGATTGATAAAAAACAGTTACATATAAGCTCAGATAGAACGTAAGATATTATATTAGAATGTGTTTTGAAAATTTCAGTTAAACTTCTTTTATGTATCACTTTCAAGTGAACTGTGAACATTTGACCGTGGTCTATTAATTACGTGGTCTATAAACCACGTGAGCAAACTGTTACAGTACAATTTTGTCATTTCACTGCATTCCAAATAGATATTATATTTTTTGTACGAAAATTCACGGAATTCACCGAGTCAGTACGATCCACTCATGTACGAAATACCACGGTATAATAAAATAAGTACAGATTATCAAAGGAGGCCGGCAACGATTTTCAAATATTTTTTGTATATTTCCAGGTCAAACATAATCTTGCATTGGCCTACATTAAAGCAGAAAGAATGTCAGACGCACGTGCACTTCTTCTAGAAGCGTTTCATGACGCAGAAGATCTTCAGAAGAAATCCATCAACGCGTCATTGGAGAGATTTGATGTATGTATGAAACGATATATTATAATTATGTAAAATTAAGTGGGTGTGAAAAAGGTTGTGAATACATTACATGGTTTAGTAGATTCATGTATATATATTTATGTGTATATGTATATATATGTATATATAGATGGTTTAAAGTAAATAATTTAATTTCTGCGGAAGCTTATCAGTTCCGCACTGACATTATTTTTTTGTTATTTTCCACACTCTGCTTTTTGGACATTAACACTTTTAATAATAAAATTACTACTTTAATATTTAAATTGTACAACGAATGTAAAAAAGAACGTTTAAAAATTTCCTGGGAGGAAATCAAATATGTATTTTTCATGTATTTAGATATCATTGACATAGAGTTTATCCTTTTGCAGAATGGTGACGCTGACCTTATACAAACTATGAACGTGTCCCCTGACAGAGTGTTTGCTCCGCCCAAATCCGTGACCAAAAACATCAGAAAACCGGGTATTGTTAGGAAGGCGAAAGTTGTGTCTGCTGCAAATGCAGACGATAGAAATGCAGCGTTCGAGGGTTCTAAACGAGTAAGAATATTTTTTTAGATATCTCCCTGATATATGGAAAGTATACTTTTATTTCCTGACATTTTTTTTTAGAATAATCAGATCTGTATGAACAATGTATCTTATTATATTAAGCATTAAAATATGTTAACAGTACTAGGTATATTGTAAAATTAACATGCGAACAAATGTTTATAAGCGTTTTTTTTTGAAATCATATTTCCATGTGAAGTTAAAATAATACAATAACATAATTTTATATTACATTGCAGGTGCGCGAGTTAAAAATGAAACCTGTTTCAACCGACAAAACAGTCAACCCTTTGAAACGTTTCATTAAACGTCACTCCCAGAGTACACTTACAAATCACGAGAAAGTAAAAGGACCTCCAGAATTCAAGGGCATGAAATCGAGCAAGTCAATGAGCGACCTGCGCGCAGACCTTAGCGAAGACGACAGTTCAGTTCTCAGCGGAAGCAGCTGTGCATTTGTGATAATTAATCGTTTATTTCAGAAAAGAACTTCCGGGTCTACAGATATCCTGACAAATACTCAAATCAAACAAAAAATGCAGGTTGTTGGGAGCGATGTGAAGTCATTTCCGTTCTCGGGAATGAAAAAACTGTTACAAAATAAAAAGAAAGTTTGCACGTGCTTAGCATCTCGTAATGAGAAGATTCCGCTGTTTGTAATAAAAGGTAGTGGATCTGTAGTTGACAATAGCCAATCACACATTCAAACGGATGGAATAAAGAATAAAACTGAACAAAAACAAAACATAAACCATCAAATAACCGCATGTGAAAAGCTGGCTTTTCAATCAAAGAACCATAGAAATTCTTTCGGATCGGCATTCGGAAATTATTTCAATAACTATTGTATAAACCAAACATTATCCCCGTCACGTGATGTCCTCACTGCTATCGTCACGCCCACTGAACATGAAAATAACGTGGATACCACGGAAACTCCCCTAGCTAATTCAAACAAAATTGAGAAAGATTCTTTTACAGGATCTGAAACAACCGACCATGGTACACACACTGATGACGAATTTTGCAATAGAACTGATAAACAAGAAAAAATAAAAACATGGAAGCCCCGCCCACCTCCGCCTTCATATCCTCCGCCCCCTTTACCACCTTCGGTGTTAATTTATGTTTGATAATGTTATATTGTGTATACTATATATAAATGTGATAGTTGAGGCCCGTTTATTGACTCTGACATTTCGAGGTTATCACTGATGATAAAGCGTTTAAACTGTATTACAGTGACAGATAGAAACATTCGTAGTCAAATGATAAAGAGTATGAATTATATTCTTTGGGTTATTTTGAATTGATGGAATGAAAACAAAATCTGGTTAGGTGCACAGTATACTGTCCCTTTCAAATCATTTCAAATATGTGACAGAGTTTATAAATGTGTAAGCAAATTAACATTAGACGTATAATATTGGATCAACGTTCAAATTTTACACGTTTGATTTTGGGTTATTATTTTATATCTATTTATATTGTTATATATATATGATAAATAAGATTACAAATATGATACCATCTGGACGGTCAAATACGAAATAAAGGTGACCAATAATGAGAAAAAACAGAGCCTATATGCAATGAAACGCAACTATTTGATTAATCAAGGTCGCTACATGTTTTTTCTGTTTTTATGTTGTTGTTGTTGTTTTTCAAACAGAAAAAGACATATCTAAGAAAAGGTAAACATTTTAAAATAAAATGTGAAGAAGTTTGGAACATGATGTTTTTTCATGTTAGAATGTTATAATAGTACTATAAAAATAAATCAATACGATATTGTTATAGTTTTGTTTTTAATCTTATTGAAGGTCTTTTAAAAAACAACACAATAGACAGTATGTAACGAAACCGAATTTCAAACAATTACGGAGAATTACGGAAAATTGCGGAAAATTACGGAAAATTGCAGAGAATTGCGGATAATTACGGAAAATTCCGGAGGATTCATGAAAATGTATATTATAATATATACATATATTTACTTTACACATTATGAATTTAATTAATGAATCTATTTTAAAGGCCCATAATGCCCCAATAATGCTATTACTTTCCAAAAAAAAGCTTTTTCACCTCTGGTGCCGTTATAGTTTTCAAAAAAATACTTATTGGCCAAATTCCTGAACAATCTTTTTTTCTGTTGCTTTTTCAGTTATTATTTACATTAATATTAATTTAGTATTTTGTATGGAAATCAAAATACTACCTTTTCTACATAAGGGAGAAATAATTTCACACAACGATTACTTTTTATTATGGTTATTAGCAACTAACATGCTCTTAAATTGTTACCGGTAGCTAGACATTATAAAATTCATGTTTGCCCTTTCTAAAGAAGGAAAAAGATATTCGTTTCTGCTTTAAAAGTTGAAAAGTGTAATTACATGATTTCGATTTAAGACTACCATATCCCATATCTTTGTACCTTTAATTTCACATTTCTATTGTTATCATTACTGCAATATTTGTTATTAATACACATATACCTATACGGTCTATGTTGAGAGTTAAACACGTTTTAATTTAAGGAGAAAGGGAGATAACATGAGGTAACAAATTAATTGACTTTTCCCAATATTTGCGAAAGTCTTTGCAAATATTTTCTAAAGCTTTTTGAATGCGTAAAAAAATGGTAATCACTGTTAATCCAAAACGAATACCTTATAAATTTAAGACTTAAAACGTGTTATTTTTTATTTACATAATTATCTACCAATAATAATTGTTTAATGAACCGCGGGTATTTGACGCACACCGTAAAATCACATTGTCGTGAAATTTACTACTTTCATGATTAAAGGTCGGAATTTAGAACATAAACGAGAACATTTGGGTAAATATGCTATTTTAGCATTTCACTACCAATTTTCAAAAAGTCAAAATTTAGGACATAAAACAGTAGATTCTATTTTTACCCGGGTCGTGTCACGATGATTTTTAAGCCGAAATATGATCTTATATGTATAATAAAATAATTGTATGTCGGAAAAAAACTTCGCATGACTAAATTTGAAGGATTTAAAGGAAGATATATGCAACATTGTATAACGCTATTTATACCCGGGTCGGTATTTTATATTTAAATTATCAGCGTGCTCTCAGGCGAATGGTAAAATTGTCTCTGAATTGTCGAGTGCCTTAAAGTTATTTTGATAAATGTTTTGTCTTTAAACACTTGTTCGAAGACTTTGGTTAAAAACATTTGATTTTTTTGCGGATATTTCTCTTATACATGAAGATGGTTGAACAGGAGCGAATAAAAGAGACGCTGATAACATGGAACAGCGCTGTAGAATTCCATAATTCCGGGAATTACAATGAGGCAATAGAAAATTATCATAAAATACAAGTACTGTCGGCAAGAATGCGATATAACATGGCATGTGCTGAAATCAAACTAGACAACGAACTTGCAGCTATTCAGGTAATATTCGGTTCATGTTTTAATATGAAATTATTCGTTTTGTTATGTTTCAACTATTATTTTTCATTCGGTTGGTTCAAATAATTAGCCGCTAATTGCTTTAGGTTCGAATCGCGCACATGGCTCAGAATTCATTGAACTATATTGGTAGCTAATGTGGGTTAAACGTTTTATACTTCGTTAAAGCTTGTGCCTGATCAAGGTTCGCTCCACCAGTAAAGCTTGAAAGATGACCTATAATTACGACCCTTATTACGCGTCCACTCGACTTAAACATACGTTAATCTTAAAAATCAGTTTTGTTGATTGAATGTACGGTTCTTACATTTATTTTGGTTCAATTCATCTTAATTCTTTTACATAACTTGACACTTATGCATTATTAACTTATAATGTAGCTATGTTATTTAGTTGTCATTGTTTCGATGTCATGCTCGACAAATTTTGGAATACTGAAAAAAATATAACATTATTATTTTTCAGCAAAATACTTAAAATCTGTTTTAAAGTCGATTTTTTGAAGGTCATTAGTTTATATTTACTATGTACCTTGATACTGTTGATGTTATTACACCTGTAAAAGAAATTATGTTTAAGCTGGTTCGTATATTAACGTTGTTATAATTTATAACTCGTCTACATTCGGTTAAGATCGTCACTTTCCGTAAGATATGTTTGGGTGACAATATTGTTTTGTTTTACTCTTGGTCATATTAGCGCTTATTTGATCTTTAAAATTAAATTCTTGGCATTTAGCGTCATACTTCGGTAAATAGTAATCATCGAGACGTTCCGAATAGATTTGAAATTTCGTTCCTCCTGATCAAAATAATGCTTTATAAATCTTTGTAACTAACGGAAAGTGACAAGGTATTCGTAAATTAACGAGGTAGTAATGGAGATAGAAGTTTTACATTGACAGTATTGGTTATTGTATCGAATTTCACACATTCTTTAGATAAATGTTTTCTTATGTTATAAAAGTTAACCTATTACCACGCATTCCATTGAATATCTGATCATTGAAAAAAAACTCTTTTTAAAAATGTATGGTAGAAGTACGGGTCAAAGTTCGCACGAATTTAAGAAATAAATTACCAACAAACAAAAAATATCTGAATAGAGAAATTCGTTCGTTCGTTCGTTCCTTCATTCATTCATTCATATTTATTTATTTATTTATTATTTATTTATTTATTTATTTATTTATTTATTTATTTATTTATTTATTCATATTCATATTCCATTTATATATTTATTGTTATTGCTGCTACCTTCTACAACATTTTTTTTTCATTGTTAACAGAATCTGACCCTGGCTATTGAACTAGACAAGCATTTAGCTATAGCTTTCTTCCTACGAGGAACCTTATATCTCCAACGCAACAGGTAATTCTTGATTTCATATCAGTGACGTCATTTCAAGTCTTGATTTCATATCAGTGACGTCATTTCAAGTCTTTATTTGAGCCGTGTCATGACAAAACCAACATAATGGGTTTGCGACCAGCATGGATCCAGACCAGCCTGCGCAGCATGGATCCAGACCAGCCTGCGCATCCGCGCAGTCTGATCAGGATCCATGCTGTTCACTGTCAGTTTCTCCACTTGTAATATTTAAAGTTGGTAAGCGAACAGCATGGAACCTGATCAGACTGCGCGGATGCGCAGGCTGGTCTGGATCTATGCTGGTCGCAAATCCATTATGTTGGTTTTGTCATGACGCGGCTCATTTCATACCAGTGACGTCGTTTCAAGTCTTGATTTTATGCATGTGACGTCATTTCAAGTCCTGATTTCATGAATGAAATTTTATCTCTAGCTTGACAAATAAGATAGTGTTATTATTTCAAGAGTCTTATTTTCTGCTCAAAATACTGAATAATTATTAAAGTGCCAGAGGCCAGTAGTTTGGACTATTATTACCGAACTGACTTCGGCAAAAAATGGGCAGTTGTTGCTTATCCGAAAAAGAAATCTAAAGAACACAAGGCAATTTTGCCTTAAGGTTTCTGTCTATAATGTTTATAATGGCGGAAAATTACTTTCACTTGGTCGTTAATTGCAGTTTTCTAAATGCAAGGTTAATCATGTAAAGACAAATCACCCTTAAGGTATGGTCATTTACAGATTTATACCAGTATATAACACCTGTAATAACATAAACACTCTGTCTGGTATGGGTTAAAAATTTCGCATGAATGTATCCAACTATTGTAAAGCAATATTGACCTAAGACATTTGAATAATAATATAAAACCCCATTGTCGGTACAGTCTAACCTGTGATTAAGACCACACCTTGAACTTAAATCACCGTGTAAATAAATGTCAATATTCGCCAACCTTTTTTGATGGAATAAACCGACTAGCCTTCAAATAAAGACAACTTGTCTATTGAAGACATGTTCAGTATCTCCCTTGGACGACATTTGTTCACATGTTTGACTGTAATTATATCGTACATATGAGTTCCTCAATTCAATGAGCGGACTCTTCACTTTATCTCATAAAAAAAAATGAAACGTTACAAAGTTATGGTAGAAAATAAAACCTGAACCGCCTTTCTGACCAACGCAGATCACAAAAAGTCACATGGTATAGGCACCGGGATAACAGGACTGTTTGTAAACGATTTTGAAGATGTCAAATATAACTTTTCAAAATGTGTTATAGCAGGGGGTCTTTTTAATTCAAAATTCAAATTAGATTAAAATTAATTATTTCAGTCTCAGCAATTCTGTTAAGACATGTATAATATGTAGCTTAATACAATGTATATCTTTTTTTGTGATTTTTTTCCAGCATCGAGAAGGCTATATCTGACCTTAAGATGGCACGTGCATTGTTACGAGGAAACACGTTTATAGACTATAAACCACTAGGTCTACTTACTAGACTTAACAGTTTTCAGGTAGGGAAATTTACACGTGATTAATATTTACATAACATAAAGGCAATCGCAGAACGAAAGTGCTATAATGTTATATTTCAAAAGCTTTATTTTGTAAGTGTTATTATATAAGTAACATTTAGTTTTATATTGACGATATATCTGTGCCACATTTTCCTTTTTTGTAATTACTTATAGCTATTCAATATTATGTATGGCAGTCAAAATTCCAGTTTGTTTTCATTCTTAATTATTTTTTGTTTAATTCAGCACTATTTTCTTATGTTAAAGGCATCAATTTTTTTCTATATTCATTATTGTAACACTATAAAACACAAGTTTCCTTTTTATACAGAGCGAAATATTTTCAGGAACTCCACTGAGGTCCGAAAACCAAATGCATGTACTATAAAATTTAAATTTCTTACATAGATGAGGTGGAACTCTTTGCTTAAGATCATTTAGAAATTTACTCTGAAAAAAATTGAAACTCGTATTTTTGTGCTATATTTAGCCCAAACTGAGTGAAAAAGTGTTGCAACTCTTTTCAATTTTGGGTCTTCTTTCACAAGAAGAATAGTCATTCTGGAAAGACGAAGGGAGCGAATTATCTGAAATTTTGCACACAAGTTATTTCGACTCTAAAACTATTACCAATCTCGTCATATACAAATAAACATCAATGGAGTCTTTTAAATGGGTATGATTATAACAGTTTAATGAAAAATTTCCAGGTTTATTTGCTACGATAATTGACAATTGGCTTTATTTCAGATTATGAATAACCTTGCTGTAGCAAATGTTAAGGTAAACAAAATGTCAGAAGCACGTGCACTTCTTCTAGAAGCGTTACACGACGCAGACGATCTTCAGAAGAAATTAATCAATACGTCATTGGAAAGATTAGATGTATGTTATATATTTAATGTTCACTATGATTTTGTAAATAGTTCCGTCTTCTTTATGTCACATGGCCCTACAAAATGCACGCGCTTTCATAGTATCCATGGTTACCAAGTATTCATACTCGATATACTTTAGAACTAAAATGTTAAAGAAATACTAAAATGTACAAGTATACAAATTGGGAAAAACTCCTCTAAAGAACAGATTAAATTGATTAAGTTTGTAAGAATATTTTATCGGTTGTCAAATAAGACATGTTCTTAATTGTATTAGAGTAAAACGGAATCAACAAAGAACGCACAAAACGAAAAATTATCATTTATCAAATTTGTGCCACCTTTATTGTGCATTTATAAATGTTTGTACATATATTTGATGAGCTCTCGTTGTTTTGTTAATTGTTAATATTCATATGAAAATGTTTACAAATGAATACAAAATTGAATTGTATTGACTTTAAGTTAAGAGTGGCCAAAACACTATTCTAAATACATGTACATATACCGGTATTTCAAAATTATCCACAGGCCTGATGTTCAGCAGTATCAATGGATATATGGCATTTACTGACTAGGAAAAAAATGATAGTTTTCAAAAATTTATTTGAACAGTATATTCGGACAGCACGTTCTGTTGCTCAAATCATTTAAATTCACTCGGAAAATACAAATATGAACCATCTTTAAGAAGAAACTCCGTCAGTTTATACAAGTACACATGTAATAAAAACAAATATCAATTCTGCTTCAATTATAGGTAAATTTAAACTTACAAATGCTATTTTCCTTTCATTTGCAGGGAGGAAATGTGTGTATGATGCAGGCAATGCACGTGTCATGTGACAGAGTATTTGCTCCGCCCAAATCTGTGACTTAGAACATAGAAAAGCAGGGTATTGTCAGGAAGGCCAAAGTTGTGTCTGCTACAAATGAAGACGATAGAAACGCAGCGTTCGAGGGTTCTAAACGAGTAAGAATACCTTTTCAAATATATCGCAAATACGGGAACACGCTTTTTACAGCTTGAAACAGTAATTTTATTATAACTGGCGTTTTGTCATAGTTTAAGTCATAAAATTTTCACGTACTAGCTCATACTTCCATACCCTTTTTAAGTCAAATTTATTAAATAGACCTTTTCAGCTTCTATATTCTTCTTTTTGGAACAATCCATTTTAACTTTATGGTTAGTCAGTACAACAGTATAGCACTTGGTCACGCTGCAAGGACTCGCATGTTTACTATGATCCACCAAACAGCTTCTTCTTACTGTAGTGTAAAGATTAACTATTATATGTGACATGTTAAATTATAGCTGGTATGGAATGGAATAAACAAGATTTAAAAACAAACTAACATTAAAGAGCTCTATAGACTCACGCCGAGAGCATTGCATAAATAATAGCATAAGATAATTCTTTAAATACATTGCAGGTGCGCGAGTTGAAACTCAAACCAGTTTCAGCAGAAAAAACATTCAACCCTATACAACGTTTCGTTAAAAAACGGACCCCACGAAGCCCACAAAGTACTGCGGAAGTAAATGGACCTCAAGCATTCAATGGAATGAAATCAAGCAAATCTATGAGCGACCTACGCGCAGACGACAATTCAGTTCTACCCGGAAGTAGTAGTCCATTGGTAAAAATCAAGCGTTTGTTTCAGAAAAGAACTTCCGATTCGACAGATTTCCCGCCAAGCCCCCAAATAAGACTTAATCGTTCATGTGGGGACTTAGAAACGCAGTTAAGGCCGGATGTTAGTAACGCCGTAAAGTCGTTTCCGCGTAGCCCGTTCTCGGGAGTGAGAAAACTTTTAAATAATAAGAAGAAAGTTTGCACGCAGTTGTCATCTAGTGACGAGCAGATACCAGTGTTAGTTATGAGAGGAAGCCACTCCCTGGGAGACTTGGACAGACTGGAAACTTCGCCTTATAGAAGGAACAGCAAAGAGAGACAAATACCAAACATCAAGCATAAAAATTCATCATATGAAAAACTAAATTTTAGTTCCAAAGAACATAGAAATTCTCTTGGCACCGTGTTTGGCAATTACTTAACTATTGTCAATAAAACACTGACTAGATCGTGTGACGTCCTCACGGCTATCGTCACGCCCACTGAATATGAAAACGATGTTTTTACAGCGGTATCAAACCAAGGTTTTGTAAATGAAAGCGAGAATAATTCCATGACAACATCTAATAAAACTGCACATTTTTACATCAATAGTGCAGATTTAGCAGACGATATCACACAAACTGATTATGTTACTTCTGATAGTATTGAAAAGGAAGAGGAGGCGAAAACTCATCCAACATCAAGAAAGTCACGCCCACCCCCCCTACTTATCCCCCTCCCCCTTTGCCTACTTCTGTTGTTATCAATGGTTAATACAAGATACTGTCATATTTGAAAATCAACGATTTTTCTTGTATGAAAACTGCTCATGTAGATGTTGATTAACGGAGAAGAAAACATATTTTACTAAATTGATTCAGTTCATGTAATAATGATTATGACAAACATATTAGCTTGCGATGACGAAATATAACACGTGTCATTTGTTCCTGCTTCACGAAAATGACAACAACACATGTATGACGTTACTGTTAAAGTACATTTTTATTCTATCACGAGCTTTTTTTTACTATACATAAGAAGAAGAAAACCCGATGTAAACACTGGTTAGGGACGACCTGTGTTTTGTGGCTGTTCTTTTTTGTTATACATGTTCTCCCTCCGATAACAAGGCAATTATTATCACAGACACTTGGGGTTTGGAGCTCAAAACGCTTTTAAAATCCAAATAAAATGCATATTTGTCAATCCCAGCACATGTACTGATCATATATATCAAAAAAAAACTTAATATAAGCCGTTTTGAAAAAAAAATATATTTCAACATCTATTATAATACACAAGATAAAAATGTTCGCCGGAAAAAATCCGCACCCCTACCGTCATAATCACCATGTATTTTATTCCATTTCCAATATTCTCATATAATCCTTTGGTCCATCGACACAGAAGATATAATTCTTCACGATGATGGTCAATTTTTAACTTCAACGGTAATATAAACAACGCAACAGCCGAAATAAACATCAATATTATCGCCGTTTTCCTTCAATGACATTATCTTTCGATAAATTCAAACGTGCCAGTCGGCTATGACCGAAGCCATCCGATAATGTGGCCCCAGCTTTGCCGTGTGCAAAATGCGCAGTGCTTTTAAGTGTGGGAACCACATAATATGAATTTTTTTCAAAACGGCTTATATTAAGTTTTTTTGATATATATGATCAGTATACATGTGCTGGGATTGACAAATATGCATTTTATTTGGATTTTAAAAGCGTTTTGAGCTCCAAACCCCAAGTGTCTGTGATTATCATAACACATTTTTATTGATTGTTTTTATTTTGATCTCTTTTCATCTTACATACACTTACACCACAGGTTTTATATATCACTTGATATTATTTATATTAAAGAAAATCTACGGAAATTCGTCATCATAAGGTTGCAACTGATTTATGATGGCGTCGGAACGGCGTCATCTTAAAATGAAATGGGTGGGGGATGAGAAATGATTTATCATACACCTATTTAAACACAATATAATCCAGTCTGACACATAACTTTAAATTGTTTTAAATTTGAAAACATAATTCTAGCAATTAAGGTGAAATATATTATCATATTTTTTTATTCCTTAGCGACTGTAGGGGGAGAAATAGAACAGCCCAATACGAAAAACGGCAGCGGAAATCATCCCGGCTTAAAAAATAGCCGTAAAGATTTCCTCCTGATTTGTCATGTTAGAATAAAAATAGTATCAGTCTGAGCTATGTTTATCAGTAGTTTTGATGCAAAAAAACAAAATAACCACTCATGCCAACGGCCTTTGGAGTGAATTCCTACGCATCAAAACTCCTAACTGGTGTTTAATAGCCGATACACACCACTGAGATCACGCAAGTACATATAAGTCTAGTTTTGAGATCATTTCTTCATAATTTGAGGATAGGCACGTTTGTTTTCTTTATATACTCGTACGTCAAGTAAATCTGTATAAATATGATTTTCTTTCACTAGCAATTTCTTTTTCAAAGCAATTAAAAATCTCACAAACTCAAGATTTCCTTATATGCCCTTACGACTATTTCCCCTTTATTACCGTTACAAAATAGTATAAATTTTCAAAAATTGACATTTTTAATATTTATGTCATAGTTTAATTCACTTGTTTAGAAAGGCGATTAAAATTATGACGTAAGTTCTACAACATATCATGAAAGTCTATTTTAGTGAATTGAGAAATATATTGTAAGGTTTTGTTAATAAAATTATAGTTAATTAAAAGACAAAATATTAAAGTTGTAAAACTCATCTTCAAGTTTAAAGAAGCCATGGTATAAGTATAATACCTAACAAAATACGGTATTTGCGATCAATTTACAGTGAACAAGTAATACAAGGGAAACAACTGCTAAATATTGTTATATGTATATTAAAAACGGTTCATAAATGATATTGTGTTTTTGGTATTATATATATATACTAACACGTTTTGTAAACCTTCTTAACTTAGGCAACTCTCCGTTCAAATGTAGGAGAACGTCTGTTTAATTTTAATTAAGCATCCTTTGTAAACTTGGACACCGTTTCGAGTTAAAGTCTTGTATTTCAATGGAACGGTATTGAATTGTTCACTAATTAAGTAGATAGTAGAAAAAATAAAGACAAAAAAGAAATACTGGTTTAAGCAACTTAAAAAAATCTATCGTCGACATGACGTTTTATCATTTATTTGTATGCAATAAGCTTTAACCTAGTTGATATGACCTAATCAGTATCATAATTAATCTAATAAGACTTACATAAATAGAAATGGTCGCGCAAAAGTCTAAAATATTAAAAGACAAGTTAAAACCTTACAAAACAAGTACTATATGAGCCGCGTCAAGACATATCCAACATCATACGTTTGCGACCCGCATGGATCTAGAACAGCCTGCGTATCCGCGCAGTCTGATCAGGATCCATGCTGTTCGCTTACAAACCCTATTACAAGTAGATAAACTGATAGCAAACAACATGGATCCTGATCTGTCTGCGTGTGTACGCAGGCTGATCTGGATCCATGCTGGTCGCAAACCCATTATGTTGGTTTTGTCGTGACGCAGCTCATATGTATACAATTTTATTACGAACGGTAATATTGTAAATAACCGTTTATATACGGCCATATAACCTATAAAAAATCATAACGAATGTAAAATACCGTAGTGATGAATTAAAATAAATTCATGAACTGACTGCAGACAATTTTACAGATAATATACACGTCACAATTGTCCGACGTAAAACGACGTTACAAGCGTAAAGTATTATAAATAGAATGAGTGTAAGTTCAATACTGAAGTTTATTGAATGAGTTGAATAGAATTATATTATGCGAGCCTTTGGCGAGCAAAATATCATTTTATTGAACAAATTCAATAATTTCTGTGATAAACTTACACAAATTTAATATAACATTTATCACATACCAAAAATAAGACCGTTTTAGAAATTGTTGATGTAATGTTGTATTAATCATGTGTTTGCGTAAGTGTGTGAGTGTGTCATGAATAATAATATATGTAATATGTTTCGGTTTAGATCCGAACCACGAGGCTTGTTATCAAACGCTCCATAACATCTAACGCAGATGATCATCATTAACTGGTTATTTAGATAGGTAGTGACCGGATAATCAGTAATCAAAAATAAAATAAAACGGTAATTTGGGACTGAAAGGGGGTGGTCTTAATAGTGAATACGCGGGGTGGGATTAATTCTGGATCATGTCACCATTCATATAAGAACAGAAAATTCCTCTATTTCGGTCTTAAAGTGGGGTGGGGTATCTCAAATAGGGTTTTTTACAGTATTATTATTCATAAGATCAGTGGTACAGTACAATACCTCTATAAAAGAAACCGATAACATCTGAAAAATAGAATGAAGAAAAATACTAAACGATTCGCAATGACACTCAAATAAAATCGGTCAATCTGCATGAAAATATTTAAGTTCTACTGTTAAATACTATTGATAGGGTGTACGACTGGGTGACTTTTTATCACACAATAATAAACCTTTGAACAATGTTAAAATTTAGGACTATATAATGACGGCTCACACCAGAGACAAGATATCAGTGTACAAATGTTTGATAAAAGACAACGTATCTATGTCAGTCGGGGATAGTTTAGATAAAGAGGTGAAGATACAGACGTGTTGACAAGGTGAACTGATATGACACTGAAACAAAATTTTAAGTAGGAGTTATGAATATATTTAATGCCGGCTCGCCACGTTGGGATTTTACCGAGAAACAACCTAAAACTCCGACTCCATCCAAAAATTTAGTCGAAGCTTGGCTTCCAGCTTTCAACAAAATGTATCTATCAGGACTGGAATCCAAAATTATTTAGCTAATCAAATTTAATCTTACATAGCGTCAAAAAACCTTCAATTTTCACGCCATTTTTAAAAACAGCAAGTATTGCTTTGAGCGCAAATAATGATGATTAAAATGTTTGTTTTCATGAATTCTTTTCAATAAATCATATTTACACTGACTTTTGATTTAGCGATTTCACCTGTTTTCTCTGTAGTAAGTTTTCGTTTGGTTAATTAACATAAGTGTACATCTGGTTCTGTGCATTTCTTTATTTTTTCTCTTTTTCCGGTCATTTTAATTTGTCCTTTCAGGTATGTAGGGTGGGGGAAAATCCCGGGATCCGGGATAGTATTGTATATATAGGGAAAAAGATAAACTATATTTGTATAATGCAAGGCGATTAAACGATAACTTTTTATTTTTTATTGTACGATGGTCTGGGTCTCCACGGCTCGATGGGCTGGAGCATTATCTTGGTGAAGAATTATATTTTCCAAGTCCGCGTAAACATCCGGGCGTTTTTTCCGTATCGCCGTAAGCAGGTTCCGGCGGATAACCTGAAATAGCAAAAACACCAATTGTTTGCACAAATGTTGCGTGATTTGTATTACTACTTTAATATTTCTTAATTTGTTATTCATACTGTATATAATATTTATATTATTATAATTATGTTATATTTTATATATTTATTTAGTTTTTGTTCTTACCTTCGAGTAATAATTTGCATTGACCGTCACTCCTAAAGGTACAGCATGGCACAGCAGAAGACCTTGGCTGTCGAAAAACACAATAAACATGTGTTTGCCCATCGATCTACTGGCACGAGCTTTCTTCGGTGGCGGGGAATCTGTGTTCTTCCACTGACTACTCTGTTGTTTCGTTTCTGGATCGTAATAATATAGCCAAGTTTCGTCAGTCGTTATTATTCTATCAAGGAATTGATGTCCTTGCCGTCT